TGTGTGTTTGTATGTATGTATGTATGTATGTATGTGTGTGTGTGTGTGTGTGTGTGTGTGTGTGTGCGTGTGTGTGTGTGTGTTTATTTATGTATGCGTGTGTGTATATGTGTGTGTATGTGTGTGTGTGTGTGTGTGTGTGTGTGTGTGTGTATGTTTGTGTGTGCGTGTGTGTGTGTGTGTGTGTGTGTGTGTGTGTGTGTGTGTGTGTGTGTGTGTGTGTGTGTGTGTGTGTGTGTAGGAGTGCGTGCATTTGTGTGTGTGTGTGTGTTAGTGTGTGCATTTGTGTGTGTGTGTTTGCATGTGTGTTTGTGTGCATGCTTGTGCGTTTCTATGTGTGTGTGTGTGTGTGTGTGTGTGTGTGTGTGTGTGTGTGTGTGTGTGTGTGTGTATGTGTGTGTGTGTGTGTGTGTATGTATGCATTTCTATGTGTATAAGTGGGTTTGTGTATGTGTTTGTGTGTGTATGCATGTGTTTGTGTGCATGGGTGTACACTTGTGTGCATGTTTGTGTGTCTGTATGTGTTTTTGTGTGTGTCTGTGTGTAGTTTGTGTGCATGAGTGTGTGTGTGTGTTTCTTTGATGAAGGGGGATCAGGGGAGGAATGGAGACCACTGGTAAGACCACTGGTAAACTGTGAATGTGGGAATGTTTGATTGCAGTCAGTGTTCAGAGACGGAGAGATCAGAACACACTGCCCTGCTGAGCCCAGAGCAAATCAAGAGGAGCAAATCTGACTGTAAAAGGTCTGCAAATCTGGAATATTAAAGTACACAGGAAATCCAAATCTAGCCATATTGCTCATGTTAGCTGACAGTGCTAGTTCTGTGCTCAACAGTTCATCTGTGCGTGTCACTAAGAACAAAATAATAGTTTGTCCTTGTAATCTTTATTTGAAATCTGACAATGCACTTCCTGTCTGTGTTCAGTTAAATCCTCAGATTAGGTCTGTCTGAGGTAGTGGGCGGAGCTAACACACTTAACCACGCCCCTCCAGCTGTCAGTTTTGACAAGAAACAGAAATGGTGAGGGGGAGGAGTCTGTTAGGCTGTAACAACTCTCCTCAAACCCTTTCCCCCATCTTTCTGAATGACACGCCTACTTTACTACATCCAATCAGCTCGCAGTAGAACAAAACAAGCCACGCCCATTGTTTACTCATTTAATATTCTGTTTCTCTGCATCACAATACAAACACAACAAATACGGTCTCAGCTTCCAGTTCATGCAGACTTTAAATCTATAACCTAAAAGACACAGTCATGTGGAATTTGCACCCTCAGAAAGACACATCACACACACACACACACACACACACTCACACACTATCAGACTATCTACAGCTCTAGCTCTATCTGATAAGTGGTCTGTGATGTTAGTGGTGAATCAGCTGTAGCAGCGGGGGTCCCAGTGGAAGTGTCCGGACAGTGCTGGAACTTTCCAGACATCAGATCCTGCAGTTAAGAGTGTGTCGACAGGAGACGTCCGACTTATCACACACACACACACACACACACACACACACACACACACTCACATCAAAGAGCAGCCCCAGAGACCACAAAAATAAACTATGCTGCTCAGCCTGCTGTGTGTGCGTGTGTGTGTGTGTGTGAGTGAGTGCGTGCATTTATGTCCGTGAATCTGTGTTAGTGATGGGCATTTTGGCCTAAAATCTACATCTTTTAATTAATTGAACATTTTAGCTCGATTACGATAAACGAACCATTATTTTATTTACATATTATATGTTCTTGCGCTCATAGTTCACTGGTATGTAATGTACAGAAATATGCTCACGTGTAATGTACTGTTGTGAATTTCTCTAGTCTGGCTCACGCCACCAAAACTGTTGCGAAATTCTAAGACGAGCTAAAAACCAGGGAGAACTTTCGGGTATCTTCAAAGCAGAATCCTTT